ACTGCAATCCTCCAATGTCTGCCTCCCAACTCGCTGAGACTGCAGGCATGAGCCATGGTGTCCAGCCTCACTACACTAAATTTTTTATTAAAGTGAACTTCATTAATACTTCTATGCTTTTTTTCATTTTAAACACTAAGCTGCTTATTTATCAAACTGATTTATGCATGCCCTTAGAATGTCTTCATTAAAAACATATAAGTGAAGTCCTTGTGGCAAGTAAGAATTTCCAAATCACAACCTCCTCCTGACACACTAGCTAAACTGATGTACCTGGGGATGGGTGCTCAGTGGTATGGCCATCTCAACTAAGGAGAAGGACAGGCTGAGGCAGAGGAGGACCAGGAGACAGTCTAAGCAGAAGTCTGGTATTTTTGTTGCACAGGCAGTAGTAGGAGGCCAGTGGAGGGACAATGGAGAACAATCAAGCCTGGCATTTGGAGACTTTATAGAAGCACTGCTGGTCTAAGCCCCAAGACCAGTCATGCTGTAGTGAAGAAGCATCTGAGCAGTGTAACAAGTCTGGCACCTGCCTGCCTAGTTATGCATGCCAACCTCAGGCCAGGGGACTTATGTGTGCCCCAATTCACTTAACGTGCATGTGCAGATAGGCAAGGGTTCAGAGGGGTGTCCTTAGAAACAAGCAGAGACCAAACTCTTCATTCTGTGCAAGGCAGAGAGAGTGGGCTTACACCACATCAAATCAGTCCAAAGACACACACTTCCAAAATGTCCAGAGCAAACAATCTATTGTATAATCAAATTCCAAGTTGACACAAACAAAACAGGCAGAATATCTGGCGAGACTTTGGTAAACACAGAGATTCACTCAGAAGAGGAATACGCTTGGTTTCCACTGGACTCTGACCAGCCAGGAAGCAGGAGCAAGGTTTTCACTGTAAGGACAGTCATGTGATACCACAACAAAAAGTAAGAGCAGGAGGAAAAACAAACCCTCACTAATTATAAATACCACTTTTTCCCCTTTGCTTCCACAACCAACATTCCTCATTACCTCTGCTGACAAGAAGCATGTAATGTTGCAATGAGATAGCCAAAATATAACATAAAATAGCCAAATAATAACAGTACTTTTAAGATATCAAAATACAAAGTATTTTCACATGCATTAGAAAATTTAATTTCCCAAAAATTTCATCAAGTAGGCATAATTATTCTCAACTTGTAGATAAGGAACCTTAAGATATATTCTAAGTTTAGAAATATTCCTTTGATATTAAGTGGCAAGGTACTCTGGCTAATTCCAAGACTTGAGCTCTTTCCCTGAGGCAGGAAAAAAAAAAAAGGCTTCCTAAATGCAACTGTGCACCTCTTGGGGGGGAAAAATATTATAGATCACTTTAGCCAATCATATCACCAACTGAGCAAGTCTGCATGGTACCTGGGTACTGAATATTGAGTAGGCAGGTTTGGGAAATCAGGATGTTATGCAAGCTCTATATTTTTTTAAAGTACTGCATATTGCCACAGATCAATAAGAGTTTTAAATCTATTTTTTTAATTTAGTCAACTAAAAAAGGAAAAAAATACAAACCACATTTTAGATACATATGTGTGTGTGTGTATGTACACACACACACATATGTATATGGTTAAAACAAATCAGCAGTGTCCACACTCTGGTTTGAGTCTGTGTGGAAGGAAGTAATATCATCTTAGTGTGGGTGGTCTATAAGTACACACATAGCTAACCAAACCATATGGCCAAATACCCCATCTTTTCTTAGAACTTTGTGTACAAAGCACATAAGGCTGTTTCCACAACCTATTTCTGCCATAAATGACTGCCCAATAAAATAAAAACTAATGATTAACTTTTGCTCCCTGTAAGTCAATGAATAGGGAAAAGATATTTCCTAAATAAACTTTGCATAGGGAGAACTGACTTTTCCCAAGCTCCCCAAAAAAAAGCTTTAAAATTATTTGCCATTATGACTTGGTCTTGGAACTAACAAAATAAAAGACATTGACAAGGTCAAATCCTGGCTTAAAGTTTTTACTAATCATGTTTTGAGACAAAGCTTTTCCTAAAGACATCTGCTTCTAACCAGTCTTTGCTTTTGAAACACCTGGAGTCTGGAATAGATTGAACTACCAGTTCAGTTCCAAGTATCTGAACTGGCATTTATTATAGGATCGATGATTAGGTATTAGTCTCTTTGCTAAGCACTAAAGATATACAGGCTATTAGGGGAGAAAGGCAAATAAATTAAGACCTTAAAGAGAAACAGAAATTGATAAGACCAGATGAGAACTACTACAACTATGAAAAACTGAAGCGTTCAAGTCCCAGAGAGAAGGGAAGCCCAGAAAAAGGAACACACTTACCCTAGAGGTTTGGTGATTCAAATGGCAGCATTGCTGAATAGAACTTTCAAAAGCCTCACAGCCTAAGGAAACAAAAAACTAGAGTTCAAGGCCCACCATGGAGAAGCAGCCATGGGAAAACTCCTACACTTTTGGTTGGCACCTTGAAGAACTAAACCCAGGGTGAACTGGAAATAACTAGTCCTCACAGGGACCAAAGCTTGGCTTCAGATCATCTCAGTTCCTACCTACCTTAACCTAATATGACAAAGAAGTCTCCAGAAAAGAAATACTCTCTAGAAAAAGACTGAACTATCTAGATCCCAAAAAAACCTCTACAGTTTTTCACATAGAATATCTGGTATTCAATTTAAAAAAGAAAACTAAGCATGTAAGAAAAGAAGACGTAACCAAAAACCAAGAATAACAACAGAAGCAGCTCAACATGACAGCTAGTTATTTGTGATTGGATGCAGACATTAAAAAACAATGACTAAAATAACACAGTGAAATAGCACTACACACTGACCACAGCTGCTAAAATTTAAAATACTGACAATATCAAGTGTGGGCAAGACATTTTTTGTCCTTTTTCTTCGGTTAAAAGAGAGAGAAATACAGGAAGCTATTAGCATACCTGAAATTTAAGTGGTAACCATAGAGGTACTATTATACTATTTTCTGTCCTCTCCTGGATATTTGTGACACTTTGTAATTGAATGTTTAAAAAAGAAAAAGGAAGGGGTGGCTAGAGAGAGATCAGGAAGAGCTAAATTATTTTAGCCTTCAGGAGTCATATTTAAGAGTTTGCACTTTATTCTGCAGACAATAAGACATGTAAGGATTTTAAACAGGGCAGTGACAGCATTAGATCTGCACTGAATAAGGATCATTCTGGTTGCAAGACAGCAAGGAGAGTGAAGGCAGGGAGTCCAACCAAGAGTCTGAGGCAGTAGCCCAGATGAAAGATGGTAACAACTGTCTACTAGAAATGAAGAAAAGTTATAAAGATCTGTATGATGCAGTGAGTTTTCTAGGAATTTGGGGTTTAATTCTCAAAACAACCCCTCAAATCAAAAAGCAAATGAGGCTACTGTGACAAAATAAAATCTAAAATGGTAACATTTTCATTAGGACAGGGCAACATCCAGGGCAGAGTCTGGGGCTGGTGAAATGAAAATTTTGAATTTTTCTGTAAATCCTTAAAAGAAATCCAAGCAGTTATAAAACTGAAAGCTAATAAGCACTCAGCTCAACACCAGATGGTCAGATAGATAGATTCACAAGTTGCCAGAATTCTGAAGCCTTGCACATCCCCTTCCAAACATGCAGATGCTTTTATCTGAGCGGGAAAAAAATTCTATTTCTGATCCTGACAGCAAATGCCAAGTCACATCTTGCCAGTAGAGAATGGCACCTCCTAACCACAAACTCACAGAGATTTCCCAACCTTATTCTCATTTTGGAGAGGTGATTGTCTTTGACCAGTACTTCCACTAGCTCTGCCACAAAGTAAAGGAAAATGAGGGGGAACATTTCTGAAGAACTCAGCTTTCTCATTTACACCCAAGAAAAGTACACCTATGTCTCTAGATTATTCATGAGCAGCTCACATGTTTTTCTGAGAAGACAAATTAAGCATATCTAACAGAAATTTACCCATACCTTCTGAAAAATGGCCTAAAGCAGAGTCTAATGAGTTCAGTGAGAGGTTAGTATAGAAGACTGAAGTATTAATTTTCTTTATCAGTATCTTTTGTGCTTTTGCAAAAGGTTAAGGTTTTGCATGAAGCATATCAAGTTCCCGGTGTAGCTAGTTTTAGTATCATTTTTTGGTCTAACTTTTGAATGCCTAGTTTGCTAGAGATAGGATTATTACATGATAATCCCCCCACCAATCTGTTCAAAGAACAAGAAATATTCAGAGACTTTTTTTTTTTTTTCTTTTTTGGTGGGACTGGGGTTTGAACTCTGGGCTTCACACTTGCAAAGCAAGTGCTCTACCGCTTGAGCCACACCTCCAGTCGAGACATTCTTTTTAAAGGAAGCACTTTCCAACATACACATTCAATGTCTCAATTTTCATATGTTCTACTGGAAGAGTTTGGTTTTAAAGGCAGGTTAGTATACGAGATGCATGTGACATTCTTTATATATCAGAATAAGTAAAACATAGACAAGAAGGCTGTCTTCTATTCCCGGAATATATTATGCATCAGCCTGTCGTACAGAGCAGTTCAGGAAGCAACCTCTAAATGACTCAAGTTCCTGACTCAACTTTTACTCAAGAAAAAGTACCCATTTTTTGTTTCCTCTGAATAATACTGCTGAGTCAAAACTTCAACCCATCAAAATTCAGGCAACTGCTTGCATGAAAAATACCACCTAGCAGATCTTAATAATTAATACTAAAACATTAATAAATTTTGCAGTTACTGATATATCATACTTTGGTCACATCTATGAAACATAATTTCTAAAGCTATAGATAGATTGCCCCAAATAGTCAAAGCACATAACATTAGACACTTTTACTCAATAAGAGACAAGTGCTTAATGTCTCTTTGGGGAAATTCAAGCTTAATGTCAAGATAAACACATGAAATCTTTGCTCTTCTCAGAGGACAGATGTTCTACCCTTCTGAGAAACATGCTCTGAGAATGATACTCACTGGGTTGACTGTTTCTTCAACAGAATGGTAAACGGTCCACCAGTCTGAAGTCCATTCCCATGCATTACCTACTATGTTATATAAGCCATAACCATTGGGAGGAAAGGCATCGACCTAAAAATAAAGAAGGGAAAAAATGCTGTCAAAACTACTCACCTTGTTTAAAAAATATCTGATGCAGAAATGCACCAAGAGCCATAATTTCAGAGTATAAATATTAATTTTCATTCCAACAGCTAAAATACAATTGGGCCAACATAAAAATAAAAGGCAATTTTTTTGACTTTGAGCTCTCAAAAGGAGTTAGAAACCTAAGAGAAGTTTTATGAAACGTGAAAATTATTTCTAAGAGATTGATTAATACTGACTATAGGTCAATCTCTATCCAACTGTGGTGTACATGTGTATATAGGGAAAGGTGATCCTTTCACTTTCAGATTCACTAACAGGAGTATCTCACTGGACCCAAGGTAAGACTTTTTATCAGAGCTGAGCTTTGCTGGCCACACAATGGCCTTTCAGCACTAAGAGACCCCACATCCATTCTGTCTTCTCCACCAGCTCCTCCAATTCACCATCTTATCTTTAAGCATCAGTCACCACCTTTAAAAATTGAGGAGATTTGTTTTTGTAAGGAAAATGTGAACTCATTATCAAGTGTATTTGTTAATAAAGGGTTTGCAGTCTTTAGAATCTGGAGGTCTGGAGCAAATTATACATTCAGCAGGGAATTATACCACATTTCAAAGACAGGTCAGACAGTGCCACATAACACTCTCACAGACACAGAACCAAAGCACAGTTTCTATAAAAGAGAGGGCAAGAGAAAAAAAACTGAACAATAGTAAGTGCAGATCAGATCTGCTAGTTTTATGACTCAAAATTTCCCCCTCTTTTCAATGGAAATTTTTAAACATAAAGGAAATTTCCATTTTTTAATGAAAAAAAAAATCAAGTTATCCTTGGAATTTTTTTAGCTTCTGGTAAATTCAAGCTTTTCCATACTAATGAAGTAGGGCTGAAAGAACGAATAAACATTCATCTCCATGTGGCTTCAGATGGTTTTACATCTACACGTGAATATGAAGGCATCTGCTGCTTGGGCAATTCAGAGCATTTCAGTCAAAGTTAGAATGCTACACTGAAATTCAATTTAATCTAAATGAATTGGAAAGTTGAAAAAATACACCACTCTGCTTCCACAATTGGCATTCATTATGGAAATGGCAGTACTTACACATTGGTCATTCAGTAATGCTGAAAATATGCCTAACTGTCCAAGACAGCCTTAGCATGGCTTTTTACTAAAACTTACAAAATACCTCTATTACTTGTCTGGTTCATCAGAAACAGATGGTGGCCATCACCCACCCATTCCTTTGGAATAGAGCTCACCCATCTCTCAGGACCAGCTGATCCTGCTCAACTGCTGATCACATGAACACTTATGCACTTTGGCCTTCAAAGTTCTCATTCTAATATTTACTCCTATGACAACTGAAATCTGTATCTATAGCTCTGTTTAGGTTCAAACCCTTCACTTCAAAGTTACTGCAAATGCCTGTTTATCACAGCACGCATCCAAGAGGGGGATTCACATGGGCTTAAGGCCCTTCTGCTTTCAGTCTCATTTGCCACAGCCAAAGAAGACCAGATACAAGCGTGACAGTCTAGTACCATCCGTTTTCAGGGTTAGCTGCATCCATAGATGAGATGATGACACACACTTCTTAGCAGACTCTGACTTTGATGGTAACTATCCTGCTATCTGCAACAACCAACATCTCTCCCAAAGTCTTATGTGAACCCAGACCAGCACCTCCACTGATACTCTGTTCACCTGTGCCACTTCTCCTGGCTCAAAGAGGCCCACTAGGCACACTCATTCCAAGCAATGCCCCTGGAATCATTTACTTTACTAAATAAATCTATGTGCCTGAGGAGAGCAGCAGCTATGCTGAAGGAAACTTGGGAGGACCCAGCTACCATATGGTTTGATTAGTCTTTTGCCTGTATTGAATAATACATTCATTTCCCATGAATTTGGGCTGCTTTTACACTTTACTTACATATATGGAATTTGATACACATATACATCATATGCTTTTCAAGGGCTAAATATCCTCATGTAATTTATTTCTTATATTAATTCTGCTCCGAAACTATTGTTTTATGATAGCTCAAACTAATTTTCAGTTTCTCTCAGGTCAAATGCCCCCTTGTTCTTCATCTTCTCCAAAAATTTCTTGGTCTTTTGCTCTCACTTGTTTAGTTTCAGTTGAAATTTTGTAATCATTTGGTAAATTCCAAACAACATTATCTTTATCTATGTCACACTAAAAAATACATTTGGGAAGTAGCATTCCTGCATGAAATGAAAATGCAAGTGTTAAAAGACAACCATTTGAAAGACTGTTGAAAGAAATGAGTCTCCATAACAACAAACATAGTAAAGGGTTAGTTCCTTACCACAAGATTTCTTCCCACACTGTTAAGAAAAAAATGGAAATATTTTTGCTGTGGTTCAAAATTCATGTTGAAATTTAATCCTCAATGCAACAGCATTAATAGGAATGGCCTTTGGGAGTTGAACAAAGGATGGCTAATGGGATTAGTACCCTTATAGAAGGGCTCAGGTTGAAGGAAGGGCTCTAATGGCCTTCTTCCTGCAGCCATGTGAGGACAAAACATTCATCATCTCCAGAGGATACAGCAAGTACCAATCCTGCCATTGCTTTAATCTTGACTTCCTAGCCTCCAGAACTATGAGAAACAAACTTCGGATTATAAATTACCCAGTCTGTGATACTCTGTTATAGCAGCGCAAACAGACCAAGTTTGTTTTAACATGGCTTCGTTATGGTATGATTATGCCAACAAGAGCAGTGAGAAAGGATCTCTTCTATGCCAGTAGAGAGAAACATGCCATATGCATTCTGGAATACAATTTGGCCATATATGTAAAACTCTTGCCAAGAAGGCTTCCTAGGGCTAGGGGCATAGCTCAGTGGTTGAACCTGTGCTTAGCCATGCATGAGGTACTGGGTTCAATCCAAAAGAAAGAAAATGGGGAGGAAGGAAGGAGAAGGAAAGAAAGAAGGAAGGGAGGGAAAGGGAGAGAGGGAAGAAGAAGAAAAAAAAATTTATCTTTGACTCAATTGCACTGCTGAGACTCTATCTAAAAAAAAATAATAAACAGGATGTCACTCATTATTAATATGTAAGATGTTCATTACTGTACTGCTTAAGAACAAAACAAAAAGAACATAAATCTAAAACAATCAGAGGTAAATTAATTAGTATTTATTCATATGACAGGTTATCCAGCTGCTAAAAGACAATGAACCTGTGACCTACTGTTAGTGACAGATAAAATGTTCCTCACATTAAGTAGGGAAAAATGACAGGATTTTAAATATTGTATGCAGTGTTATCCAAACGCAGTATGTGAAAAATATATGATACATATGCACCAAAAATATATATGCTGGCAAATATGGTAATTAAAGCATGGGCTTTGGAAAAAAAACAGACCTGGCTGAAATTCCGGCTGTGCCACTTTCCAGCTCTATAACCCTGGGCAAGTTAGTTAACCATTCTGTGCCTGAGAATGCTCACCTGGAAAATGGGGACAATAGTACCTACTTTACTGAGCTGAAAGGACAGTAACTGATACAATATATACAAATGGCTTAGCACTATGCCTGGCACACTGCAAGCACTCCAAGACTGCTTGCCATTATTATCATCGACACAGAGAATGAATGGGAAGAAACACACCAAGGATTATCTCTTGGTGGTAGAATTCCAGACCAGTTTAACCACCTCCTCTATCCTGCTTGTCTTTTTCTAAATTTTCTACATTATATATTATGAAATCAGAAAGAAAAACACATCATAAAAGAGAATGTCTGATTAATTACTAGCAAGTGCCACTAATGACAGTGGATCAATACAGAAAGGGAGGTACATGTTAGTTGGAGAGCAAGTAATGCCTTTCCCCCTTTTCTAATGAGCCTCATTCTCAGGGAGCTGCCCTTCTCTAGAAGCCTCACTACTCACGGGCGCAGTTCCTCGGAAGCCATCCTCTCCGGTGTTGGTCACAGGAAACTCACCCTGCCAAATGTTGGCAAAATGCTGGCCTCTTGGCTGCAGCTTGTTGCCCCAAGGGAAAAGCCTGTTAGTAGAGACACAGGCATCAGCCCTATAAACAGGCACAGGATTCAGAATTCAAGTCAAGGAAAGGGATGCAATGAAAGACCCATTTGTTCTAAATAAGTCTTTTAAAAATTAAATACAGCTTTTAATCAAGATTTTTTAAATTTCCTTATTAACAGCTCATGTCAAATTTGCAACAACCTTAGTCACTCCAACGTACTTAGAAGTTCTGAAATAAATTGCTTAACTAAAGGGACTTATAGAAAGCTGGGAAAGTAGACATCATTCTGGACTTATATGGTAGCATGATCAGGCACCATCATGACACATGTTTTTATAAAGCCTTGGCTATTTTAAGGAGCTCTTCCTAGAAGATGTGACCTAAACATGAGTTTTCTGTCTCATGGCTCTAGAAGCAGAGAAATACCACTGCTTCAGAAGATGCCTAAAATAAGAAAATGCTAAAAGCAAGGCAGTCTGCCAAGTTGCTCTGAGGAGTAATATGTTACACAAGGGGGCCTGCATTACTGGAACTCTCTCCAGGACTACGAGAGCTCATTTAGCTTTGGGGGCAGTAAAGAATTGGTGACTCATTCACCAGTGTCACCTAAGTACCTCACAAGGAAGAAAAAACCCAGTTTGAACAAGAATTGTTTCTAATCAACTTCCTAACCAAAGCAAGTTCCAGAGCTGAAAAAAAGGTCAACATATTGTTCAGCAAGATGAGACTTTCCAAGTACCTATTTTGCAGACCTCCTCGACAGCTGTACTCCCACTCAGCTTCCGTGGGCAACCGCTTCCCTGCCCACGTGCAGTAGGCAACTGCATCATTCCAGGAGACATGGAGAACTGGATGATCTGGCCTGTGGAAGAGTAAGAGCAGAGTCAGGAGAGGCACCAACCAGGGCAGAAAGCAGGAACTGGCTTCAACAAAGTTCCCATAACCATCCTTGATCCAGTCTATGACACTGAAGTGGTCCTGGTCCTTAATTCAAACCCAGCCATGCCATATCTGTCTTTTCTACCAAAGGGCTTCTGATGGACCAGGCTCCCAAATGGATTATAAATCCTCACGGAATGAGACATAAAGCATTTCTTCACTTTGCAGGCTTCCATCCCCAAAGAATTTCATCAGGATGATGGACAAGGAGAAGCTCTGCCCAAATCTCCTCCGAAGGAAGGAGTGCTGCTCCAGCTGCTGGAAGTGCCACCAGAGGAAGCTTCCAGCTCCTCCAGGGTTTTGTGCAATTGAGAGAGACACCTCAGAGTCACCAGTGACTGAGCACAGCATAGCATAAAGGCAGCCATTTTGGTCCACCACAGCTCATACTGCAGAGTTCTGTGAATTGTTGATTAGAACTTTGTTGGGCCTGCATTATAGTTTTGGTTTCTCCTTCCACCCACTCCCTTCTTCAGGTGTAGGTCCATAATAGACATTGTATGTACCAAACTCTTATCTCAGTCTCAGTTTCCAGACACCCCATCTTATGACACCTGGCTTCAAACTTTGTATCTTTGTACTTTTCCACGAATGATTCTCCAGCTACATTCACTTTGCTCTAGCAGATTCCAAGTCAGTCTCTTTTTTCTGAGAGGATGGTGGAGGGAGGAAGGGAGTAATAGCTTGGATTAAATTGACTGCTGATTTTTTTTAAGTGGACTACACATTCCTAGTCTATTCCTCATGAATCTTTGAATTCCTAAGAGTAAAAGGATTTTCAATTATTCATTCAACAAATGTTAACTGAGTACCAATTATATGCAGTCACTACTTTCAGCACTAAGAAGAGGTGCACTTTTCTTAGAAGACCGACCTTCCCAGTGTCTACTATATGAACTAAAAACATTTTTCCAGGCTGAGGATGTAGCTCAGTGGGAGAGTATGTGCTAAGCAAGTACAAGGGCCTGGGTTTGATCCTCAGCACCACAAAAGAAGACACTTAAAAAATACATTCCCCTTTGGGTTTTCCTTCTTCCCTTAGCTTTTTCCTCTACTGTTAAATTTAGGGAACATATGAATTAGGAGCTAAGGCCCAGTTCCCATGAGGTTCCCAAGGATCCTAGGACTTTCTACCTCAGTATTTCCAGCACAAAGGCTAACAAGTCAGTCCTTGAAAGATCAATGTCTGACATTTGTTAAGGGGCTATATCCCTAAAGCTCAACTTCATGTACTCCCAGACTCCTGAAAATAAGGGTAGTAGCCTGGAATATGTTTAAAAATAGAGATTTAAAAATGCCACTGAAGAATGAGGTTAGGAGAGCAGTTTCCTTGGGCTGATGGGAGGCTGAGTCCAAACACAAACCTTTCTCCATCTCCATAGTTTAAAGCTCCTCTATTTTTGCTTGAGATAATTACTTCCTTGCCACCCTAGAGACTTGCTGACCGGCTTGTTGCTCTTGGTTTTTCAGTGAGATGGAGACTTCAAAGTATGTCAGTGAGTCCAGGATAAACATCACATGACTCTTATACCTAAGAACTAGGCTATATCTAGGGACCACCTGGTAGGACACAACTACTTATGCTTAAGACACACAATCTTTTTCTTTATAATGACCCACTTATAAGACAGAATAAATGGACAGACTGTGAATATTAACCATGTCAGGGCTGAAGACTTGGCTCAAGTGGCAGAGTAAGCAAGAAGCCCTCAGTTCAAATCCCAGTACTACCAAGAAAAAAAATTAACCATGTCTTGAGATTTGTAATAGGCCTATCAAAAAAAGGCAATGAGGACATGATTAAAAACTTTCTGTGAGCTAGACACAGTGTTTGGGTCTTTACGTACATTACTTGCTTCCATTCTATTTTCCTACCAATCACTTAGGGTTTGTCACTCTCACCATTTATTTTACAGATGAAGACAGCCATTGTGCTCCTTTACAAGGGTGCAGGAATCTATTTTGGAATCAAACATGTCAACTGGATATGATCAGACTCACCTGTGCAGAACAGTGGAATCGGGCCCCTCTGGGTGTTTCCAGTTAGCACCTTTAACAGGTAACCACCAAGGAGCAGCTGCAACCTCAAAGCAACCAAGAACAGGCTCCTGTTAGCTACAATGACTCCAGAAAAACATGGATTCAGGAAACACAGCAAAAACAATCTCACTCAGGAGCTACAGTTTCATTTGGGTTACCAACACATGCCTTTATCAGAATAGAAAAAGCAAAGATTTATATTTAAATATATCTTTAACAAAAAAGTATTAATTCATTTATATTTAAATATATCTTTAACAAAAAAGTATTAATTCATACGATAAAGCACTACAATGATCAAACAAATACATATATAAGTGGTGCATAGCTCCAAGAATTGTCAAAAGATTCTCTGCAAGCAACCCTCTATAACCTCAGACAAGTGAGAGACAGGTAGTCTCCAATTTAAAAGATGGGTAAGCAGTTATCCTTACAAATAAGTGTGGGACTGAAGGTCAACCAAACTGGTTAGAGATTTAAGATGGAGCCCAGAGGGGAAAAAATGGTGTATGTTTTTAAAAGACCCTGGTTTCAATTTCTAGTCCAACATAAGTGGTATGACCCTGGGTGAGCTCATTACTTGCCTATCCCCTGATAGCCCTCACCTGTGAAATGTGATCAACTTCCCCTGCCTCACCTCAGAAACCAAAGATCAAGGGAGATAAGACTCCAAAGTGCTCAGCAAATTGTTACAAGGACCTTAACTCCTACTTTATGGATCCATTAACCATGTTAACCAGAATAACAACAGCAAGGGGTCACTGTCTGGTGAATGGTTAAAAGCAGAGGCTTTGGAGCCAGACAAATGACGTTTGAAGCACTGCTGTGCTGTTCACACCGTGGCACCACATATAACCTCTCCATGCCTGTTTTCTCATTTGTAGACAAGAGACAGTAATAGCACCTACATCTCAAGTTATTACAAAAAGGAAATACAACTTAGCAACTTAGCAACGTAGGATAATGACTTGCAAGCAGTAAGGGTAACCAGTCTTTACATGCATGGTCCTATGAAAATCAGTCACAAGGAAGCCACCAAAAGAATCGTCATGATTGCCAATTTCAACTACAGAACAGAAGTTTGCAAATGATTTTTCTAACATAAACTAAAGCAGACTCAAGGTTATAACCATTATAATGTTACTCTCATAAACAGCATTCTGATGAGCTTGGGTGGGTGGAAGTGACAGGAGGCTATGTCCCTGCTAACAATTACAGCAGTCACTGGAAACACCAAGCCCCATTCTTGTTCGTTCCTTTTCATGTCAACACAAACATTCAAGGTATCTCAATCACAATCTGATGGAAAAGCCAATTTTTTTTTATATTTCAACAAAAAAGGCATGTGTCCTTAAGCGGCATTATTTCACAGTGTTATATTCTACAGAAAACAGGAGAGTTGAAAAGCACAGCTTCTTCCTACTTTATTTGTTACACTGAAGAAACTAATCTGGGTATGTTCACATCAACTGAACTATGGGATGTTTAGGAGGCAGGTAATTCACTAGATGTCAAGGGAAGATGTGCATAGAAGGCTCAGGTCATCTGACTCTAGGGCTCCCGGGAGATCTTCACATCATGCACCCAACCCAACTAATTCCCCAATATTAAGCACCACCCTGGAAATTTCTGGGCTAAAATAAATAAATATGGCAAAACATGGCAATATGTTAACCTTTGTTAAGTCTGGGTGGCAGACACCAGAAAGCCTTTTGTTTCTCATACCTTTCTGAGTTGGTTGTTTTTTTTGTTTTTGTTTTTTTTTAATATTTCATCATTAGCAATTTTAAAAACTGACAATTTTTTATTCATATTACTACTAACAGGCATTTGGGCATTTCCAGATTGGGGTATTATTATGTATAGTGCTGCTTCTGTGAATATTCTTCAAAGAGTGTGACTTTTGGTAAATTGCATATGCATTTTTGTTCATCATAAACTGTGGGAAAGGAACTGTTGGATCACAGGGTAGACTCATGTCCAGCTTTGGAAGAGATAGCCAAACACAATTTTCAGTGGCACAAGGGGGTTTCCTACCCCATCCTCCACAGGAAGCTTCCATGGAGCTGGCTACACATAGAAGACCCAAGGGCAACTGTTCAGTGGCCTGTCAGTCCGTTTGTTTTTCCTGTCCTGTTCCCTTTAATTCAGGTTGGGTACAAATACTTACTGAGCACCCACTATATGCCAGGCATTAAGCCTAACTCCTGGAGGGGTACTGAAGTTCCATGAGTCATCATAGCACAACATAAGACCACTGGCATATTGATACATGTTCTAATGATGTATTTTTACATATAATAATTCTTTAATTGCCAAAGGTGAGATACAAAGTATGAACCTGGTCACTTCATTTTTTCTGTCAAAAATATCTCCAAAATTCAGATCAGTGGTCTAGTGTCCCTTTAGACACATCAGTCTTACAGTTTCTGAATTCATTTTCTCTGTAGGTGGATCCCTCTCCCTCCTCCTTCCCCATATTTCTCTTACTTTCTTTCATTCTAGACACCCGTTTTTCATTTTTCTCACTGTTTCTTTTCTGAAATTTCACATTACTCTAGCAACCAACCAAAAGAGACTGGCCTACAAGTCTTAAAAGTCATGGAGCTATAATAATGACCACCAATCTCAGGCTGTACACAGAAAAACAGAAAGAATACACTCTGGCTAGCACATGGGGAAGGGGACACCATGACAACACTGTCCTTGACCAAGGCCAACAACCCAGTTCTTTGGTTTAAAATAATAAGATCTAAAGCAAGTATACATGGCTGGCTGAGTGGTTCAAGTGGTAGAGCATCTGCATAGCAAGCATGAGGACCTCAGTTCAAACCCCAGGACCACCAAAAAAAAAAAAAAGGAGGTAAAGCAAGTATACAAACATATATGCATAGTATGTCTATAATAATGCTGTTTCTAAATAAAAATTACAAAGTAACCCAGTTCTCTTTGCTATCCATCCAAAGTAACACTATATAGCTAGTTATCAAAATATACTCTGAAGTAGATATACATAATATAATATGTTATAAAGGTAACCTATAGCACACATATTTCATTATTTCTGTAAAATATAGACATAAGGATATATGTTCACATAAGCATAAGAAAAAGTCTGGAAGAATATATATATATATATATGTATGTATATATATATATATATGTATATATATATATACAAACTTAACAGGGGTGAAGGACGGGGTGAGTTCACACTTTTTCAGAAGGAGCATGCTTCATTTTTAACAGTTTTCCCAACCTCAACACTATGGACATTATAGACCACATAATTCCTTGTATGGGGGCTATCTCATGCACTGTGGGATACTTAGCAGCATTTCTGACTAGATGCCAGGTGCAGCGCAATTGTTGCACATAAAAATATCTCCAGACATTGCCAGTGTCCCCTGAAAGCAGCAAATTTACCCACCGAACTGTGATAATTGGGGGGAAAGAAAGATTAGTTTTGTTAAAAGTTAATACATGCTTATAGTAGCACAGTAGTAAAATCATCTGAGCCTGGCACCAAGCTGCCTGAGTTTGTACAACAGCACCACATTTTACAAGATACAGGGTCTCAGACTCTTTACCCTATCCAGACCCCAGTTTACCCATCTGTGAAATGGAGATGAAAATACTACTATCTACTTCCTAGGGTTGCTGTAAAGATTACATTGGGAAATACATGTAACACTAGGCATTGGTGGCTCACACTTATAATCCTAGCTACTTGGCAGGCTGAAATGAGGAGGATCACAGTTCGAGACCAGCCTGGGCAAGTAGTTTGAGAGGCTCCTTCTCCAAAATAGAGCAAAATGGACTAGAGGAGTGGCTCAAGCAGGAAAGCACCTGCTTTGTAAGTGTGAAGCCCTAAGTTCAAACCCCAGTCCCACCAGAAAGAAAAGACATGTAACGCTCTTAGATCACTTCCTGGTAAGGGCTAAGAATTACCCAAATGTTAGCTATAATTGTTACTATTACTCATTTATGTTATTGCACGTTGCAATATTCTCTTAGAGCTTTCAAAGAACATATATGACTTTCAGTGAAAACTTACCCTCAATAATTCTTCAGCTTGAGTCCCATCCACCACTTCACCCTTCTCAGAACACCAATAGGCTGAGAAGAGTGCTCAAGGGGAAAGATGCCAAGGAAGTTTTACAGCATATGTCACTTCCACAGAATTCTCAAGAATATATAGTCAGTCTTTCATCCCAGTCATGCAGTAAGAACCACCTACATACAAACTAACCTATTCCATAAAGGTGGGTCAGGGGAGGATGTCCTCCAAACTAGACGAAGCTTTGATACTTGTAAGGGATTTAAGTGACATACCTGCCCATCTGTAAGAGATACTAATAAGTCACTACTCTAATGATCAGATGCAGAGTTACAGTCCCCATTTGACATAAGAAGGGAATTCGACTCCCCACAACTTAAAACTGATGAAATCAGAGGCAGCCCCTCATTCATCCCTGCCAAGTTGTTCTGAGAAAGCCAACATATTTTGTGGCCAAATTTATGACAACTCCCATCCCATGTCACCAGATACCCTCCTTTTCCAAATGTCACTGTTTATTAACTCCAAGTTTTTTTTAAAAACTTATTCTTGAACTCCTAGCTCTGTCATGAAAAGTTAATTGCCATGCTACTATGTTAAGGAACTTTTATGAAATAGATGAGTTTTGAGTTACCAAGGTTATACTGCAAAGGATGACATTTCTAATTCTTTTTCTTTAAGAGGAATAGTTCTTAGATGTGTTGTTTACAGAGTAGAAGCAGCAATACAAATAGGTTGGCATATATGATCAACCTCACCTAAAAAGAGAAAATCTTTTTTGGATGTGGTTGTCCACCCACACATTTTCTGCTCAACTGAGACAATTTCCACAGCTAGGGCACTCCCTTACATCCAGGGGGAAAGAGACTTTAACATGACCTATTTCTAGTCAACCATCTCCATAGCAACTGTCTTGGATTTAAGTTGAAACAGCTATACCAGCCACCCAGTGGCCAATTACAATGTAAATAGATCTGGGTGAATATTGATATCCCCTTGAGAAATAAACTTCACAGAGCAAAGACATTATTTCCCACCTCTCCCTGGATACATCACCAGACTTGTAGTAACAATCTGAAGAAAAGGAAAGGTGCCTTTATTCCTGCGAGAGGTAGTAAATTATGCTTCTTATACACACAGAGCCTAGAATAAAATCAATACAGGAAAAAGACAAAGTACTGTATAATTATGCATATTCAAGTATAAAGTTGTCAAGTTCACAACTTTACAATTGCTCTCTTAAAAATTAAAGGCATTCAGATAAGCAAATTAAAAAAGATGGATGTTTCTTGAAATGTAGTATAAACATGACATTTACTACTATAAAAAGAGCCTGGGAGAATATTTCAACTGGCACCAGTGAACAATGAGAAGTTGCAGATCTATTCAAATTCATGAAGTATAAATAAAACCAGAGGAAAATCTAACAACTAAAAGAATCAAAGGGAAAGAGAATACATAGTGAGTAAAAATCTCTATCCTTAATAAAGGATAAAAACAAATTCATCATTAAAATAGATAGGTAGTTAAGTCTGACAGCCTACTGCAAATTAAATCCTAAATCAGGTATTTCTGATGGCTTAATAGACCACATGGAAGAGAAAAATGTGTGCTTTTTCAGGTAGAGTACAAATATTTATGAAACTTAATGCAGCCCTGAAAGTTTTCAAAACTTTTTGCTTCAGTTCTTGGTTAAGTTCCTCATGCTATAATACATTATACTACTAAGACACACAATAAGTTTCATCTCCTTAGTGTGCAGAGCTGTACACTATGGACAATGTGTAAAAATGTCATGAGCAAATCTCTTGGTCCAACAAACTCTTAAAAGTGATCTTGTTTACTCACTTTTAGTTGAAATGTACATAAATATTTGGGGATTTTTTTTTCAAAAAAATTAATAGGAATTTAAAAAAAAAAAAAAAAAGCTTATCCTTGATTTTTTTTTTTTGCCTGTACTGGGGTTTGCACTTAGGATCTTGTGCTTGCTAGGCAGATACTCTACCACTTGAGCCATACTCCAAGTCCTTTTTTGCTTTAGCTATTTTTTTGGATAGGGGCTTACATTCTGGGTGGGGAGGCCCCCTCAGACAACATCCTCCCCCTATTTATGCCTCCCATCTAGCTGGGACTACAAACATGTGTCACCATGCCCGGCCAAGAAAAACTTATGTGAATGTTTAAAAATGACTTTTTACCCTTGAGGGGCAAGTAGATGACAATATAAATTGGCATACACCATCTTGAAAGCATTGTAACAATACTCAGCAAAAGCCTACATCACATTCATACCCAGCACTGAGGCTGTATGCCCATATGAATACAACACAGTCATTAAAAATTGTATGCAAAGGCCTGGGGATGTAGCTCAGTGATAAGAGTGCTTGTCTAGCATGATAAAGCTCTAGGTTCAAATCCTAGGACCACACACAAAATAAAATATATGGGGGCAGGGAGGAATTCCTAGGATAAATGGTTACCATTTAGTGAAAGTGAAAACACCTACCTTTTCATCTTCTTGAGGTTCTGTAACTTACTCAGCCTTCTCCAGGCTTTCCCATCTCAAAATGAAGAATAGCACCGTCTCCCCAGCTGCTCAGGCCAACACCCAAGCGTCATTCTTGATTCCTCCTTTCCTTCACCTCTGTTCTCTCAGATGTACTTCCAAATATCAGACCACTTATAGTATCTCTGGTCCTACCATCCTCCCTCTTCACTCCATCATCTCTCACTTAGAATGTCACAAAACCCCACACAGAAGCCAAAGTGGTTATATTTGCATGTGCACGTGTGTGTGTGTGGTTTGTTGTTTTTGTTTTTGTTTTGTTTTTTGAAACAGGATCTCACTATGGACCCAAAGCTGGCCTCAAACTTGTGATCCTCCTCTGCCTCCCAAGTGCTGGGATTACAGGCAGGCGCCACCACCACCAGTTTAGAGCTAGTGGTGTCTAACTGAAATTAAGGTAAAACCCCAACTCCTCTAAGGCCCCCAAGGCTCTCTGTAACCCACCACCTAGCTACTTCTCCAAACCAACCAGAATCCGTCATCACCCGTTCCTTAGGGGTGCATGATTTTCAAACGGCTCCCCTGACTGACCCTCTTCTACATAAACACCAATTTTAAATATAGTCCTTCAGTAGGATATCTGTTTGCAGCGTGAGTAAGGGAATCAACTCCTGGCTTACGGTTATAAGCAGAGGTCTACAGTGTGAAACATGGCAGCCTAGTTCTGAGATACTAACAGGTGCTAGACTCAGCCCTACCTACACTGGAGCAAGCTCCTTCCTCTTCCTAAGTGATAGCTTATCTTTGCCAGGTCATTCTGAAACTTCTATCCACTCTAAATTCTTTGCATGAGATTCTCATGAAGCTGGACATCACTGACATGGATTTCTACTCAATAGTCTACCTCTGTTTCTCCAAAACAGTTAATGATGCCAACCCCACAATTCAGTGAGCAAGGGGTATCAGAATCATTCTTACTTCTTAATCCAAATTAGGCCTCAAAAGACCTACATACAACTCAGAAAGAAATGTAAGGACACCTTAAACCAGTATTTCAAATCCGAGCCTCTGAGATCTCAGCATGCCTCACACACACTTGTTCTTATCGAGTGACTTGGAGCAGGTTGGAAAAAACAATTATCCCTGTTATCCTTTTATATGGGTTCTCACTTTCTGGAGTTATCATAGTTTGTTTCCTGAGCTTATGCCACACACTGACTTCTAAATCAAATGAACACAGACATTCAGTGCTTTTCAAAAAAAAAGCACAAAAGACAGGGTCACATTCTTATCTTATCCAATCAGCCAGACCTGGATTGCCATTCCCAAATAACTCAATTACTGTGAATCTACCTCAACCATGATGATCAGGCCAGTGTCTCTTGCCAAGGAAAAGCTGACTTTGCAACCTGAGATGGGTCATACCAGGACTGAGCCCTGCTGCTTTCAAAAACTAAATGTTTCAACATATGATACCCAAATGGCAAGCTTTCTTTTTTTTTTTTGACAAATATGGATTAAGCACGTATTAAATGATAGTGACTATGCTGAGGATAGGGTGGTGAATAACACAAATGCACTCCCACCTACCTTCACAGAACAAAATCTAGTAAAGCACTCAAAAAATACCTGCACAAATAATTATTATTATAAGTGAGATAAATGGTATGAAAAGAAGGTGCAAGAAGACAGGAGAACAAGTAACAAAAAGTGAGCATCTAAATGTGGAATGTGGAATGACAGGATGGTGTTCTGAATGGACTTCCCAGAGCCAGCACAGCTAAGACTTCACTATACAGAGCTGAGGTGGGTAGTTAAGCAAATGGACACAGCACGCCCTCTGCCCAATGCTCTATCCTTGTTCCAAGATGAGTTCCTCCTCATCTGCAGGGCTACTCTTAAGCACTTCTTTTTCATTCAGGCATCCAGATTAACCAATTTGGAAAATCCCAAAATAGCCAACAGGTATTTCTGGAAAGCACAGAGGGACAGTTTGAGAGGAGTAGCTAAAATCAGAAGGAAATGTGCTCACACCAGTAACAAATGAGTACAAGAAGAGCCTACAGTAAAAGTGTGAAGTTCTCTGGAAGTCTTGTTCCATGACCTCTTGAAACTGACCTGCCACAGATCCTTTCCAGAACAGAAATCCACACCAAGGAGAAACTTCAAGGAAGAAAAATCAAATAGCTAAAAGAGAGAAACAAGAAAGAAGAAGAGAAAAGAAGTGGAGGAGGAGAAGAAATTCAGAAAATCTATCTATCTATTACAGGGTTTTGAACTGTGAAGTAGGTGTTCTACCGCTTGAGCCAAGCCCCCAGTCCTTTTTACTTTATTTATTTTTCAACTAGGGTCTTACCATTTATGCCCAGGCTGGTCTGGACAATAGTTCTCCTATTTATGCCTCCTATTTATGACAAATGCACACTATCACATTTAGCTTTTATTGGCTGAGATCGGGTCTGGTTAACTTTTGCCCAGGCTGTCCTCTAATCATGACCTTCCTGATCACCACCTCCCAAGAAGCCAAGTAACTAGGACTATAGGCATAAGCCACCATATCCAGCTCTTTTTCTTTTTCTTTTTTTTGAAGTTTTGTTTTTGTTTTGAAATAGGGTCTTGTTATGTTACCCAGACTGGCCTTGAACTCCCAATCCTCCTGTCTCATCTTTCCAACTACTGGAAATACAGGTGATACTACCACACCCAGCTAGAGGAAGTCATAATTTAAACACAAGAAGACACCTAAAAAAGAGCTCAGTGAAGTTATACCACAACTTCTAAAGGCTCAGAAAAACAGTTCACATGAAAATGAACAACAGAAAATACTCCAAGCTCAAACCCAATCTAACATTACTACAAGAACAAAGAAATGAGGAAGGAGGTCTGGGGGTTGGCACCAGTGGGAGGGATGAGAATGTAGGGAAAGAGTGTTAATATTATGGTAGAAATATTATGTAGTCATGAATGAAAATGGGAAAATGAGACCTGTTGAAACTGTTCCAAGACTAGGGGATAAAGGACAATGATGGAGGGGGTAAATTCAACTATGATACGTTATAAGAACTTTGGTAAATGTCACAATGTATCCCCAATACAACAATAATTTTTTTAAAAGATAATTTAAAAAAATGAAGAAGGAGAACAATACTCTTACAAACAGGGAGATGGATTAATCATTTTTCATTGCTGCAACTAAATAAGTAATTAGTAATGTTTAAAGAAAAGAAGTTTGGGCTGGGGACTTAACCAGTAGTAGAGCACTTTCCTAGAGAATAATAGGCCTGGGCAGGGGAGGGGAGGGGAGGGAGAAAAGTTTATTTACCTCACAGTTCTGGAGGTACACAAGCATAATGTTCATACCTGCTTGACTCTGGCCAGGGATCCATTCATCACATCATGATAAATGGGACTATGGTGGGAGAGAGAAGGATTACATGACAAAACAGGAAGCACCGAGGGATTCAGGGGTCAGGCTTGCTCGTCTATAATACTTCACTCTTGTGAGACACCAATCCTTTTGGTGGACACTGACCCTAAAGACCTGATTACCTCCCACTATGCCCCATCTATTAAAGGTTCTAGCCAGGTGCAGGTGGCTCACAACTATAATCCTAGCAACTCAGGAGGCAGAGATCAGGAGGATCACAGTTCAAAGCCAGCCCAGGCAAGTTCCAAGAGACCCTATCTCGAAAAACCCTTCACAAAAATAGGGCTGGTGGAGTGGCTCAAGGTGAAGGTCCTGAGTTCAAGCCCCAGTACCACCAAAAAAAAAAAAAAGGTTTTACCTCCACTTAACAATCCACGACCTCTCCACATCACCACAATAGAGACCAAGCTTCTGGTACATGAAACTTTGGGGAACAAACCATATATAAACCACAGCAGAAGACATAATCAAAAATAAATGCAACATACTATTTCAAAATGAGGTAAATGACATTCATGAAAATCATTACCTGCAAACTCAGATATGGCACAGAAATAAGAAAAAAGCTAGAAATGATACCAAAAGTCATTTCAGAAATATTACTAAAGAGACATAAAAGGCCAAAAGAAGACTTTAGAATTAGTGAAAGTGGTAAATACTGAAAATGAGTCTTAAAAACTTACAAACAGATCTATGAAGAATTCTGGAAGAAAAGCAAAATTAAAGATATAGAAAAATACAGTGAAAACTTTCCTGACATTTAAAAATAATTGTGAAAATTCATACTGAAAAAAGAAAAATGCCATACCTGAAAATACTGACACACAATGACCAACACCAAGATATACTACAGTACTAAATATACTAGGTACTAAATAAAAATAAAAATTAAAAGTCCTTGGGTATTCAGGTTAAAAGCAACAAGTAACTTTCCAGGGAAAGAAAACTTGATCATTATCAGAATTTTCAATAGCAAAGTTTTATTCCAAAAGAAAACAAAATGAAGTATAGAAGATAATCCAGAACAAATGTGAACCACAGATTTCATATCCAGCAAAACTGACTTTAAAATAGAAAGTATACTAACAAACTGTTGTCAACATGCAAAATTTCAGAAAATAATATCGTCATGTCCACTTTCAGAAGATTCTCGGAGAGAGTGAACCTCATTAATTCAAATGACTACACAGACATTGAACAAAGAAAGTTTTAAACATAAAGTTACTTGTAGAACTCAATCTAAACCTGAGAGAAAAAAAGGAAAGCGTATTCCATGCAATGGATACATGCTTCAGCAATACAGAACTAGTATGACTATTTTAAAACTGAGTGAGAAATAGGAAAAGCTTATGTAAAAGTCTAAGTTTTTACCCTATTCTCAGTAGCTACACTGGTGATGGTAACATTGGCACTGTTATTTTAAGACTGTTATGTATGTAATCTGGGATAAAATAAATGAGTAATTATGGGCTACTTTAATTCTATCCCTTGTATCCCTGAGCACCAGAACTTCTGGTATGGAAGAAAAGGAAAAGATGTCATACAGAACAGGCTAACTTAAAAGTTCTGAAATGGAAGCGTTGGTGTGAAATTGTGGAGCACTTTATCTAGCTCTGTCCACGGAGGAAGCCTAGAAACAACAACCAATCTAATGGCAATGAGCACTTAGAACGTAGAGGAGGATCCTGGAAATACATTTTCTATAAAAGACACTGAGGCTTCCTAGAGAAACAACTAATTCCAGGCTGAGGATAGGGACAGATCTTGTCAGTGAAAAAGCAAAGAAACCATGAAGGACTACTAGGGTCACTTCAGAAGGACACAAGACAGTTGCCTATGGCTGGGTGTGGGAATGTGGAATGACTAAAAGTGGGCACAAGTGTTTCTTTTGGAGCTAATGAAATGATCTAAATTGGATTGTGGTGACAGTTGCACAACTCTATAAATATACCAAAACAACACTGAGTTGTACACTCAAAATGATGAATCTTACATCTCAATAAAGCTGTTAAAAAAGAGAGAAGGGATTTGGAGGCATGGCTCAAGTGGTAGAGTGCTTACCTACCAAGCTTTAGACCAATCCAAACCCCAGTACTACCAAAAAGAAGACCAGGGTGGGGGTGGGGGGGAGGATACACAAGAACTTGAAAAGGCACCTAGTGCTCAAAAATAGGAAATTTTGACCTTCAAAAGACAGGGGGAGGGGAAGAGGAGGAGGAGGAGGAAGAAGAGGAAAAGAATCATCATTATCGCCCACGTAGTCACTTTTGAAGAGTAACAGGAAGCCATTATTTTAAAGTCTAGTAAAAATTGAGCATTTTCCTATCTTTCTGTATGACCTAAACTAATGGTTCAGAAAACAGTAATAGTAAGGAACTATCTTTATGAAAGTTTCTCCACTAACAAATAAAAAGAACTATTAGATTATCATGATCTATAACTCCCCAATAAATTCATGGAATTAGCCACTGAGCATTAACAGCAGCCTACACACAAGAAGAGGAAGAAGCAGACATTAGGTGCCTCCTGGTGGAGAAAGACACCACTATGATGTCTTGCCACGGGGTGCAAACATGTTTGATCAGACCTGAGGATACAGTTATCAATCTGCAGGTGATACAAGGAGAGAAAAAACAGGTGAACTGTACTGTGATAGGGAAATCAGCAAAATTCAGGCTGCAGCAAAGTGTACAGGCTAAATGCTGTGTATTCTTCAACTGATGAATTAATAGGGAAGAGGACATGGGAATGGAGGAATAAAAGAAAAACCTGTAGGTTTACAAGAGTCTTAAAAGATTCAAACTCTTTTAAATAAGCAAGATTAAACTTGGGATGTACATCTGGGTAATACACTATAAAAAAGGCAAGGAAGTGTCTACTTTACAAAGCTGGTTAGAGGCTACTTTATGGACAGAGAATTGTGGCAACTAGGACATGGCACACAGATGGAGCTGCTGGGGTAGGTAACAAAATTCTAATCCCTGACATGGATTTTGGTTACAGATGTGTTTGCCTGAGGATAACTCAGTAAACTATACATTTATGCTATGTCATTTTCTGTTGGTTGTGCTTCATTTCACAAGTGTTTTTTAAATAATGAAAATGTATATCACTAGTGTTAACTGAAATAAGTAGAATGCAATATTTAAAATAACCACATGAAAATAAACAATATTATTTCATTTTAACTAGCTACTGTAGCTTGAAGAAGTTTCCTAATTCTGTTTTCTGTGTTAAAAAGGAGACTAACAAGTATAGTCAAATGATAAGGATATGGATGGCATCAAATGAGATTTCTTCTTGACTTAAAGTCCTAAAGACAGCTATAAAGTGTAAGGTCATGTGATTCAGGGTGACCTTACACTTGCCAAACTACCACCTAAAGTCATCTGAAGATCTCATGGACCATCTCACATCCTACACTTCTGGAGTTTACGTGGTTTAAAAAGGTCTGGTGCTGCTGGGCACCAGGGGCTCATACCTATAATCCTAGCTACTTGAGAGGCAGAGACCAGGAGGATCCCAGTTCAAAGCCAGCCACACACACACACACACACACACACACACACACACACACACACACACGCTGGTGAAGTGGCTGATATGGTATAGTGCCTGCCTAGCAAGCATAAGGCCCTGAGTTCAAACCCCAATACCACCAAAAAAAAATTTTTTTAACAATAAATAAAAAGATCTGTTGCATCAGGGTAAATCAGACATAAAAGTGGAATGAAAAAAATAAAAACTCAGCTCTCCCAGATTGTCATTCTGTCCCAGATTTATTTTAGTCATCTACCCCTTTCTAAACAAGCTTAAAAGGTTTGCTTTTCCATTATAAGCATTTAAGCAAGTGACCAACACCACAGCCTGGTGACAGCTGCTTATCCTTGTCCTAGTTACAAGCACACACACTTCACTATGTACTTAACAAGGTACCTTCAGAGCCTAGCAATGAACCACCTCTACCTTCCTGCCTAACACGTTTGGAGGTTTTCAAGTGACAAGACAAATTACAAAATAAGCACAAACACCCTCCTTCATCTGAACTCCATGTCTTAAAGAACACACTACATCCTGAATTGCTGACTCATCAATACTAGGCTGAACTGACCTCAAAGACCTTTAAAAAAAAAAAAAAAACGGAAGGGAATATCAGATTACATAATAGGTATAATACAAACTAGCAATGAGTAAAGAAATGGAATTCAAGTGGAGCACAATCACATTTTTCAAACATTTACCTAAAACAAATACAGAAAGTGACCTGATTGACCAAAACATGATTCAAGACCAAGTCTTGTTTTACTTCATTTTTCTCTACCACCTCCCAAGTTTTGCTATATTAACTGGGAGAGAAAGAAAAGACGAGCCAGGATAATTCAATTTTTGGCACTGCTGCTCCCAAGAGAGGACCCAGTGCTGTGCCCCACCACATTAAGATGAAGTTCATGCAGGAACTGAAGGGAATTTGAATAAAAAAGGAAGATTAGGGTTGCATTCCTCCCTCTTCAGTGTCTCCCTTGAGTTGGTCCCATGTCCTTTCTCTCCTGCTGCCTCAGCATTCTCTGCCCTCTGTCCTGTGAACCCTCAACATCCCAGCTTATCCTTGCATATTCACAAGACAGGTATACAAACAAATGCATAAACATTCAAAACCCTGCTAAAATAACTAGTATGGGAATCCTTAAGTTCCACTAGCCACATGGTGTTTAAGGAAGTCTAGTCCATGGTTTTCATGATGACTGGGAAAAATGCACCTAATTTGTATCCCCTAGACCCTCTGTGTGAGACAGGTCCCCTACATATAGGGACCAGTTCATGGCCTCCATTTCTTATGAACACTCATAGCAAAGGGCCCCTTTCACACACACGACATTGATCATATGAGTTCATGAATGTTTAAAAAGGAAACTCTATTTCCACACCAGCTCCTGCTAAGATCAAGACTTCAAAAACAATTACTTTTACACCTCCACTCTAGAAACCGCTACATGTAAAATAAACCCAGAAGTGGCTAGAGCCCAGCTGGGTGCTACTTGGAAATATGGTGTGCTACTCAGGCAGACCTGGCTCTCCCTCAGATGCAGCCTAAGCTGTGCATTTTCATCCAGATAAAGGGCTCCAGCCCATGGGCCTGTGACTTTGTGAAAATGTATGATGAGAGAGCAGCTAGGAGTTAAGAGGGAGAAAAAGGTGGCACTTGTAGTTTGGATTTTTCACCCAAATCCTTTCAATGAGCCACAGAGAAATATGAGAGCCTATTTAAACATTACTTACTGCCTGTTGGATATCAGTCTTCACTTGCTCACTCAACATGCCTTCAAAGACAAAGGAGTCGCCAAACTTCTCAGCCTAAAGGAAGGTAGGAAATAAAAATCCAGAAAATGTTGGAGTAATGTGTTTCACATGTGCCATTTAGCTTGCACACTAACTTGTCCAAATGAACGTGGCTTTTTCCTATGACTTCCCAGAGGATTCAGGAATGACTTAAAAGCATCGAGCTTCCTCTTAAAACAGATTAATATCACTCACAGAGACTATTTTCATGTAAGACTTGTTTAGCTGATAAGACTGTAGACTAAAAGAGATTGGGTTTTGAGACTGTGACTGCCCCTGTTGAAGGAAACACTTTTCCCCCAAGCAGTACAAATGATTTTGGGAAATGATATTATTCTACACACGTGATATTGCATAATCAAGCTGTTTGTCCTTTGTCTTGCTCCTAGAATCCAGCTAAAAGAATCACATGCCACTGTTTGCTGATATTCTAACACATTGTAGCTCCACTAAGGTGTCAAATGTGTTTATAAATCTCGAGAAGCCTATATTTTAACAATTTCATTTAACATTAATGTCTGAAATCTTCAACAACCTGGTTCTGTCACATGTGACCCTGTACTGAGAACAGGGTCCTTTGTCCCTTGGCATCTGTGACTACGACTCTTCTCATCCCTGAAATACATGGGCTTGTCTTCTTGCCCTGGAAACACTGCTGTTTCCAAGCTCTGCCCCTGGCTTTCTGCACTTCTTATACTAGGCCAGTGGCCCCCTGGCTTTGTACAGTGGAGATTACACAGCCAGCTGCTTAAACTCAGACTGTGGTTCTGCAACTCTGGAGACTGATTGTGGGGGCCTGGAGTGAATCCAAAAAACCTGCCTGTGTTAAATCTGGTGGTTCTAACACAGGTGGTTCAAGAGAAATACACTGGTTGACTGCCGGTGACCTCCTTCAATCTCATCACTTTAACTAAGGCCAGTACTTCAAATTACTCCCAAATCTCTACCTCCCGTCCTGTGCTGTTCTCAAAAAATGAAATTAACTCAATACTAGATCCTTACTTCAGGACTTACAAGCGCCTCAGGCTCCCTTTCCTGAGTGTAACTTATCTTTCCTTCATCCCTGATGTTCTTTCTGCGTTCCCTGGTGACACCACCATGCCTAGGAACGTAAGTCATTTATTTGTTCAACAAACACCTACTATGTACCTGGTTTGGGGCTAAATCAGGGAATAAAGAAGGTCACCAGGGAATAATAATGTCATTACTGATAGGCACGGTCCCTATCTTTAAAGCGCTTTAAGTGTGAAGAAGCAGAAAAAAATCAAGCCAAAGAAAGAAAAGAAAGGAATGATTAAAGTTTCACTTCACTGAGTAAGGTAAAAAGCCTCCTTCTGGTAGAGAGTAGAAGGCTCCTTGAGAAGGAACATTTAAGCTGAGATGGTTCAAGAATGAGAAGGAGCCCACCACGCAAAACAGGGGCAAGCCAGGAGCTACAGATCCCAAGCAGAGGAAAAATACAAGCAAAGCGCCCAAGGTGGGAAAGAATGTCTAGTTTTCAAGGAACAGAAACAAGACCAGTGGGGCCAGAACATGCTAAATAAGGGGCAAGTGATGTAAAATTAAGTTGGAGAAATGGGGAAAAATACATACAAAGTGCCAAAAACTATGAAGCACTTTGTCCACAGCAGGGGTTCTGAACATCTTCATTTCACCCCTTTGGCAACACAGTGAAGCTTAAAGAGACTTCCTTCTCAGAATGAAACATTTAGATCCACAGATTACTAAGACAACAGTTATAAATATTAATAAAACATCTGCGCTATAGTATATGCATGTTCTTTATTAATAAATTAAATAAGATCTAGTGCCAGATCTCATAATTATCATATTTCAAAGCAGGGATGGATGTAAACAATATTTCAAGGTATCTTCAATGTCTGTGATTTCTACTGGTGGCAAAGTCACAGGCCGCTATTATTATGGTTCATTGCTGTGTCATAATTGAAAGATATTAAATTTCGGGTAAAGAGTAGCAAATATCCAGATGCAATTTCTCCCCATTTATGTTCATGGATATCCTAAATTCTGCTTATTCTACCTTATTTTCAAGGAGAATTGTGGATAAAGGAAAGCCTTCTTCCCTTAGAATTCTTCCTCTAATTTAAGTAGACAACTGAGGATCTTGATCTGAGAATATCTACATGAAACAAAAAGAAGAATGGGACTTTTGCTCACTACAAATATTACAAGATTTACAACCACTCTGTATATTTTAGGAAATTGTAAAGAAATGTGACACTGCAAAACCAAATTTTAATGTTATTTTGCTTATGGTATTCACTTCAAAGTTAGTTAATTTAAATGAAAAAGACCCATTTAATGCCCGAAAGGAAAAGAGGGAAGGAAAGAAAAAAACAGGAATTCCACAAACTGAAAAAAAAAGTAATGTTTTCTAGTGAGAGAAAATGGGATGCATTTTAGAAAACAAATCTATTTCAGATCCTGACAGAAACGTTCATAAGCTAGAACCAGTTCATAAACTGCCCTTGCTATTCCCACATAGGATAAATATCCACTTGCAGAACCTTGCTCTGTGATTCAGTGACCACAGGATAAGGCCTGGAACTGCCACAGAGGAGCTTGGGAGTTGTCAAGACATTGGAATAAAGCCACAAAAATGAAAAGCTGTACTGCTACATCACTTATGAAATATGTAATGCTTTTGGGACACCAAAGTACAATTTACTGAAAAGGAAAAGTGGCCTTACTTTACATGCCATCTGTTCTCTCAAAAAGCCTGAGTGGACAGTGGTCCTCTCTGTCATATTAAAGCACAAACATAATATAGCATAATGGTTAGGAACACAGATTCTGGGGTCACACTGTCCAGGCTTGAATTCCAACTCCACCACTAACTAGCTAGGCAACTTAAAAGCAAATCACTTTTTTAATCCTCAATGTGCTACCTGAAAAATAACCTGTCTCATGGGGTTGCTGTGAAAAATTAAGACCACCGTGTGTCTGATTTGCATATATAAAGTGCTTAGCACAGTACTTCGAACATAGTAAAAGTGGTCAGTCAATATTCATTGTTATTAAAGCAATCTTGAAAATTGTGGAAAAGAACAAGTTTCCCCTCCTATCCCTAACCCCATTACCTCTGTCAAATAGCCAGTTGCATTCACAAACTTCTCAAATTCAGCATTACTGACTTCGTAGGCATCCATGTAAAAGGCATCAATAGTGACTCTCCTTGCAGGTGCTTCCCCATCCTGCCTGATCTGAGGATCATCTGTGCCCATTGTAAAGACGCCAGCAGGGATGGCGACCATCTGCAGCAAAAGGGGAAATACAGGAAGTCATGCATCAAAGCCAAAGTGTAACTGGGTACAGTGTAAAGTTCCTACCACAGAGCAAGCACCCAACGCTTGTAAACTTGACCACCACAAAAATCACTGTAGAAATTGAGTAAAATCACTCTATGCCCCAATGAACGTGATCACTAGTCACAAAAATAAGTGAAAATTACCATGAATATGAGAAGGAATTTATCATTTGAATCATTCCTAGCTATAATTATAAAAATTCTACTTCATTTATAACACAGTCCCAGACATGAGTGATATGTCTGTATCACAGTGAAACCTGTGAAATGGCCTCAGCTCCAGGACTGAACTAGGTGTCTCCATGATTGTCACTATTCTCCAAGTGCCTGAGACACAAGATTCTGCAATCTGTAGAAAAGAAGTCAGAATTTTAAGCAGGTCTATGAAAAAGTAGGAAAACAGAATTCAGAAGACCGAAGTTTCTAGAGTCATCTTTAAATGATTATTAAAATGATCTAATCAAAGCTTTCATAAAAAGCCAGGTGTGGTGGAGCATCTGGTGTAATCCCACCACTTGGAAGGCTTAGGCAGGAGGACTGGGAGTTTGCGCCAGCCTGGGCTACACAGTGAGCTCCTGTCTCCAAAAAAAAAAAAGTTTCAGAAAAAGCAACATTTCCACAGCAGACAAGTAGGTCTTGTCATGAGAACAGTTGATCTCCCTCAGCAAAAAGACAAGCCCAAAGGAAGCTGCCCAGTGTACCTGAAGTTTTATAATTACCTACTTTTTTCATCTTTTTCTCCCTCAAGGTCAATACCACCAATGCTAATGTCACAACTTCCACTGTGGACTCCTGGCCTAGTTTCTTTTCCACCTTCATTAAGCATCAGAGATACCAAGCACTGAATAGACCAAGTCTCCATTCTGGAGGCTGTAGATAAAAATAGCTCTGGATTGTTCTGAGTGGGTCATAATTTCTAATTTATACTAATGAAGATTTCTGTCCTACAAGTGTAAAATGTCATTCTAGTAAATTCTATAGCATTGGGTGTCTCACTCCTCAGGACCCCAAGCCAAATAAAAAGATCCTTATAAGTGTAACTTCATGGAAGGTCCAAAATTGAACAATACACTCCTTCTTGAGTCTAAAGGAAGACTGAGTTTAAACCCTTCTGCCATACCACAGCTTCTGCCACTGCCACTCAAGCCGGAAGCCTGAGTGAAGTCATTAATGACTCCATTATCACCAGAACCATATTTAGGACATGCCGTGAGGCCACAGCAGCTGCTACTTTTGCTCACCCAGCACTCACTCCCCTAAATATAAGGGGAAGTACCTTTTGAAAAACCACTTCTTACTAGATTGCTCATACCTATAACCCTAGCTACTCAGAAGACTGAGAGGATCATGGTTCAAGGTCAGCCCATGCAAAAAGTTAATAAGACTTCATCTCAATAAATAGGCCAGGTATGGTGGTGGTATCTGTAATCCCAGCTACTGCAAGGCATAGGTAGGAAGACTGAGGCCACTCCCAGGCAAAAATGCATGACTCTATCCAAAAAATAACTAAAGCAAAAAAGGGCTGAGGGTGTGGCTCAAGTGTTAAGAGTCCCTACAGCAAGCTCAAGGCCTAAAGTTCAAATACCAGAACTGACCAAAAAACAAACAAACAAAAAAAAAACCATCTTGACGTTGACCTTGCTAAATGTATGTGACCCAGATAGAGCTGCATGACTCTATTTCACTTGTGACTCAGGCATGGCCAATCATGGCATTCTTTTGACAACATAGATGTATTTGGAAATAGGCCCATGACCCAATCAAAGTTCATCTTGGAACTTTTGTTGGAACCACGAGGAAAGAGGAACTCTTTTTCTTCCAACTAGTTCATCAGTAAGAGAACAGACATTACCTGAAAACAGAGCTGAAACAAAAGCAAGATGACCCAAGAGACAACAGCCAAAGAGACAACTACCTGACTCCCTGGGCTCAGCTGTGTCTGGGCTATATCCAGCCTTGACCTTCCTGAGCTCAGAGTCCATAAGATTTTTGTCTTATACACAAAAGTGCAATGGGCTCATATACAATCTTGACGTAGCGCCTCTTCCTTTTCCTCCTTTCCACTCCTCAAATTTAAACATAAAAGGCTAAAGACTCTGCAGAAAGCCAGATGAATATAGCAAGAGAAACGCACTCTCAGTATCTACCCATAAACCACCGCCCATCTATCTATCCACACGGAAGCTTGTCCAGCTACATTATTCTCTCATCCTACTGGTCTCCAGAGAGACAGCAATCACAGATGGAACTGCACTCAGACTTCCTCCAGCCTGAGATTCACATTCCACCACGCCTCAGTGCCTCACCTATAAAGTGGGAGATAATGTCCCACAGGATTCTTAGGAGGACCGCACAAGTGTATTTTACAAAAAAATGTCTTTGGAAAGTATCCAACGTCCTTCATTCCCCAGGTAGTTTCTCAATACCACAGCTACCAAAAGAGGCAAGAGATCATGCAAGGAATTGTCACAGAATGCCTAAAATATATCTGGCAGCACTCAGAAATGTAGAGACAAAAAGGTCTAAAACTGCTCCCATGTCAAGTGAGATATCAGACAACCACACAAGTAACACTACATTAATCAAAAAAGCTGCCATCAGACAACAACAACAAAAAGATGCCACAGGAATTTAGATAACAAAACTACTAGTTGGAGAAAAGATTTCATGGAAGAGATGACAGTTAATTGTACCTTTATGCCCAGGGAAGCACTACCCGATCAGAAACCTCCTCAGACAGGCAATCGAGACCGACTTTATCTATACATGCAGACACACCGCATACAAGTTTAGCATTTCATGATCCTAAATGCCTTATGAATAACTCTTCTAGAAGACTCCTATGAAGGTTAAAACATTCTGCCACCTTAGTACAAAGTAATAAATGGTATGCAAAATTGTTAGGCTAAGTGGTGGTGCATGCCTATAATCCCAGCTACTCAGAAGGTGGAAATCAGGAGGATTGTGGTTTGAGGCCAGCCTGGGCAAAATCAAGACCCCATTATAATCAATAAGCTAGACGTAGTGGTGCAAATCTGTCACCAGCTACACAGGAGGCCATAGGTAGGTGAGGATAGCTCTGGGGGAAAAAACAAAAAAAAAATGAGACCTCATCTGAAAAATAACTATAAAGCAAAAAAGGGCTGGAGGTGTGGCTTAACTGACAGAGTGCCTGGCAAGCATGAGGCCCTGAGTTCAAACCCCAGTACTGCCTGAAAAATTTTGTTAGGATAATTTTCTCAATGATAACTGTTCCGTTTTTGTTTTGGTCTGTCTTTTTATTTTGTATTTGTATTTTTGAGACAAGGTCTTGCTAAGTAATTGAGGCTGGCCCATAACTCACTATGTACCCATGGTAGCCTCACTGAGTCCTCAGCTTCCTGAGTGCTGGGATTACAGGCACGAATCACCATGCCCTTGAGTACTCTTTTTTTTTTTTTTGGTGGTACTAGGTTTTGAACTCAGGGCTTCACACTCACTAGGAAGGTGCTCTACCTGCAAGGTTTGAGCCATGCTTCCAGCCCTCATTCCTCTGATTATTTTGGAGACAGGGTCTCACTTTTTGCCCTTGCTGGTCTGGACTGCCATCGCCTATGTTACTCCCCACAGCTGCTGGGATGACTGTCCAGAGCCACCACACCCAGACTTTTTCCACTGAGATAAGGTCTTGCAAGCTTTTTTTTTTTTTTTTTTGCTTAGGCTGGCCTGGAACAACAATCCTCCTCTTAGCCTCCTCTTAGTCGCTATCACTTGCGATGACAGACTCATGCCACTGACAGCTATAGACTGAGATGTGGTCTCATGAACATTTTTCCGGGGTCGTCTCAAACTTTGACCTTCCCAATCTCAGCCTCCCAAGTAGCTAAAATTACATGCATGAATCACTGGCACCCAGGAAGAACTGAACTTTTTAACCAGAGGAATTTAAGTCAAATTTTAAGGTATGGCTATTTTTCCTAGCCATATTCTATTCTTAGTCATATAACTTTCCAATCAAGTTATAAATTTCTTGAGGGTAAAGCCCAGTGCTATTCTGTATTTCCCTCATTTCACCAAGTACTCATTAAATAAATTAAAATACAAAAAACTCACACCTAAAAGGTGTGGTATTAAAAAGTGTGGAAAATGTTACTCCCAGAAAACCTTAAATCATTTATGTTTCCAGAATACACTTGCAATCCTACAATGTGCTTGTATCAAAGCTATTCACTTCCTGGACTGTCCTTCAATCTAACCTTTTATCTCCAACTCCCCTCCAAGGCCTATCTCAAAAATGACCTTTTCTCTAAGGTGCTTCCCGGCATATACAAAAATAAATCCTTTTCCCTCTCCCTGTGCTCTGTACCTGTCATTCTAGTACTGCAACTACAGGAAAATCATGCTTGCAAGTATATGACTGTGTGTGTGTGTGAGAGAGAGAGAGAGAGAGAGAGAGAGAGAGAGAGCGAGAGAACCTGAGAGAGCATAAATGTCCTGATGGTAGCACACAGGTCTTTTTCTTTTCTGTATGCTGAGCATATATGACAGCCTTGTATGTGTGCTGAAAAAACATTTGTTGGATTAAGCCAAATACAGAGAAAGACATGAGGAGAGAGCAGAACTACCACTACAGATATTTACCCTCTACCGAAACACTGCACTTTTGAATTTTAGACTAACTGGCTGTCAGAATTAGACCAAAATCATCTACACATTTACTGAAACATTCAAAACTGAGGAAAACAGAAAAATGAACTGCCTGGACAGGGCTACTTCAGGTTCAATCATTGGGTTGAGTTCTTAAAGGCTTGTGGATTGTGCTCTCACCAACTACTAGTTTGTTAATAGCTTGAAATGCCTCCAAACATTATAGAAAGTGAATACAAGACAGGCCAAAAATGATGCATACAGTAGCTAGTCAGGTACAAAACTACAGGGATGAAAAATGTACCCCTTGTAAATGTAATTCAAAAGATGATGGTACCTCATATCTTATTCTAGGACCTACAGGAAGAGGGACTGTTTTAAAATGACTGTTAGTACTGGCCACAAAGTCTAAACAGACTTTTGAGAAAGATAAAGGGATCTACTCCTTAGAAACAAGGAGATTGATTATCAGTTACCATACAAGTTAGAGGAGAATGAAAATCAAGTATGGCCAATAAAATTAAAACAGTAATCAGGACTTCTCTCAATAAAGAAGATAAACACCAATAACGCAGGTATCTGCACCATTTAAAAGGCACAGGATGGAGAAACAATGAAAATCCCTGATTAACAACCTCCTAAATCCTGCTATCAAGCACCACCAAATTCACAACCTAGTTGAAGGGAGAAATCTCCTGACACGCACCTTTAATAACTGTCGTATCAGGGTTGGTGGAGTGGCTCAAGTGGTGGAGCACCTGCTTAGCAAGCGTGAGGCCCTGGGAAGCTCGGGTGGTGGTGAAGGTCCGTTGTTTCGCTTAGATAGAAATCAGAGGCGGACTGGAGCAACAAAGGTCAGACCACCCTTCACCAGTACCAAAACAATAAAAAACTGCCATGTCACAGCAATTCATACTACTGTGACAGCATATGGAAGGGAGGAGGGAAGAGAAGAAGTCAAGAAAGACCTGCAGTGGATGTTACCCCTTCACCAAGTCCTGAACATTGGTCAGAAGAAACTTAGAGGGAAGAAAAGTGTGATGGAAAAAGGAGAGAAGGGTGAGTTTCATGGTGTAATGGTAAGCCATGGAAAAAGGAGAGAAGCATACAAAAAGAGAAACTGAAGTCACGTGGCCTGTGTTCTATTCCCATAACTTGTTTCCACAAATGCACCAATATGCAAAATACCTGGCAGACAGAAGAAAGTACCACCTGTTGTTACTGTTTTTATGATACACCCTAGCACCTAACTCATCCAGGCACTGTGCAAGAGACTTAAAAGCACAAAAGCAACTACAGTCGGTTTGTTCCTTCCTTGTGCTCCAGTGCTAAGCATGACAGGATAAATTATGTAAGTCCTTCACATCGACAAGCAAACTCTACTGGAAGAGAGCACAGATGAGATGACAACAGTGTTGGAGACACTGAGACCCAGGATCCAGTTTTCTTCACAATTACTAAGAGAGGAATTCAGAGTTTAAACCCGAATCTGTCCGACTTAGATTCTCAGATCCTCATCACGAGGACAGGGTGGGAGGAGGAGGAAGTAGGGGGTAAGACGTAAGAAAGAAGGCACAACAATGATCCAAGCAAACTCCAGTGGCTCACAATCAAGAGAAGCCACGAGTCCCTGCGGGTCTTCCGGAGGGGGGGGTGTGGACAGTGGGGGGTGGGGGAGGGGTGTGGACAGTGAGGGTGGGGGGGATCCTTGTCACACAGGATCCACAAGTGCGCGACTTGAGGTGTGGGTCTAACCCTAACTAGCCTTCCTGACAACAGCTTGCCTTTCCGGCTTGGGAACCCCGCAGCTCCGTCCCCCTACCCTCCCCCCCCGCAGGGGTCGTGGAGCACCTTGGTGGGCACGAACGCCGGCTCTCCGGGGACCGGGCCCAGGGCGTTCGTCTCGCGCGAGTACCGGGGCGCTGCCGCCGAGCTGCCGTGGGCCCTGGGCCGCTGCGGCGTGCCACAGCCACAGGAGCCCGCGAGGGATGCCGCGCCCGCACCGGCCCCGGCCTCTTCGCTCCCTGCCGCCCGCACGCCAGCAAAAGCAGCAGCAGCAAAAGCCGCCCCCGGGCCGGGTGCTGAATCTACGCTCCGGCTGTGGCGCGGCGCAGCCATGTTGCTCTGCGAGCCATGTGACCCGGCCGGTCACGTGGCCACGCCTCCTTAAAGGGGCCGCGTGGGCTGACTTAAAGCCTGGCTGGGAACTTTGACAGGCGCTTACGGTGCAGCTCGGCTGCCGGCGTCCACACGCGGCGAGGCACAACAGAACTCCGTTATGCTTAAGGCCCTGCACACGATTTCTAGGTTAGAAACCGATAATCTTATTTCTTGAGCATTTGCTGAGTGCCCCAGTACTTTACTGAATAAGCACTTCATTTTTAGACATCTCAGTCAATCTTCAAAATGATCCTCCAGGGAAGTCATTTTTGAGTTGGGAGGGAATTAAAAGGGGACTGCTCACTCTCCATTTTTCTATAGTGCTTATTTTTTATGATAGTTATGTGTTACATCAGAGTTTTACAGTTTTAAAATGTTGAAGGCATCCATCCTTGTTATTTTGCATTGTGTTTACTACACCACTTGTATGATAAAAAAAATTTGGGATATGTGATTGAATAATTATTCTGTATATGACTGACAAACTAATTCTTATACAGCGATGAAATTATTTTTCAAATCGTTTCCTTCAAAACAAAAATGATCCTTTAGAGCTAGGAGTGTGGTTCAAGTGGCAGAGCATGTGCCTAGCAACCACAGGATTCTAAGTTCAAACTCCAGTGCTGCCAAAAAAAAAAAAATCTCTTATTACTGGATTCACTGAGCAATTAAGCAACTTGCCCAAGGTTAGGAGGCAAATAAGTGTCGAAAGTGGGGACTCTACCTTGAAACTTTGAATTTTCACCATTAAGTTACACTATAGGCAATTCAATAAATGTCCCCTAACAGGAAGTAGAGAGGAGGATGAACATGTTGAAGGACACTACACCAAAGGGTATAGTAGGGAAATGCAGACTGTGGCGTATGCCCAACAGAGGTCCTCAAAGTTTTGTCCCAGACCTCAGCATCAGCATCACCTGATAACTTACTAGAAATGCAGCATTAAACCAGAATCTCTAGGACAGTGTAGAGGAACTTAAACTGATTTTGATGAAAAGCACTGACTCCTTACTTGGGCCCATGAATTAACTAAACACAGGAGAGTTTGGCATCTCTGCCTCCATTTTGTACCTATTGTCCATTGCTCTGATCCATTCTCTCCTGCAGCCACCTTGGACTCGAGGAAGGACAGGAATGATCGATAACATCTTTATGAGAAGGGACTGAAACTACCCCGGAAGAACAGCAGAGCCTTGCAGGACGGACGGACCACCCCCCCAAATGAGGATAATTACCTATAATGATGAGGCTGCACCCTGGAGCAGGTGTAATCATCTCATGGGAACCAGATTGCTCCCCTCAAGTGATGACAGGGATAACAACATCTATAGAAACCTCTGGAATCCTTGGACTGAGATGATGGTCAACCAGACCACACCTGTGACTGGGACTGTTTATGTACACCTTTGTCCCCTGCTTCCAATTCTTTGTCTGTTTAAGTTAAAGCTCATTTGTGTACCCCAAAGATGGCTGAAGATGGGCTAAGTGCTTACTCTGCCTCTTCCCAGGGCATGCCCCGAGCCCTGTGATAAATCTTTCTCTGCCCTCACCAGGCCTCTTTAGTTAGCATATAGGGGCGAGTACAGACCTGGGATGCACAACCCCAGGAGTTTGGGCCTTGGTCCAAAACTCTGGTTTCAACAGGCTACAGCAATCTATGTTTTAGCAAACTCTCCATATGACTCTAATGCTCATTAAAGTTTATTTTGATTTCTTTTTGTTTTGTTTTGTTTTGCTTTTGACAGGTCACTAGGTTGGCCTTGCATTCACTATATAGCAGCACAAGAGGCCTCAAACTCATGGTCCTCCTGCCTCAGCCTCAGGAATGCTGGAATTGTAGTCTATACCACCACACCCAGCTCACATTAAAGTTTAATCAGCAAACAGAATGCAAAACAAAAAGAAGAAAGGGAATTTACAATTTAAAAATGACACAGCAATTGACTGCCATGATGGTGTACATCTTTAATCCCAGTTACTCAGCAGGCTGGAGGATCCTGAGCCCAGGAGTTTAAGAGCAGCCACGACTGTGTATACTAAAACAAAACAAAAAAGATGACATTGTAACCAAGTGCAATGTACAAGTCCTATCTAAATAATGATTCAAACCTGCTGATTTTAAATTTTTAGAGTTACAGATTGAGTATCCCTTATCTGAAATACGTGGAACCAGAAGTATTTTAGGGTTTTTCAGTTGTTGGAACACTTGCATAGACTTTATAGGTAGAGTATCCCCGCTTTAAAAATCCAAAATCTGAAATACTCCAAAATTCAAAACTTTTCTAACATCATGTCAGCACTCAAAAAGTTCCCAATTTTAGAGCATTTTGGGTTTTGGATTTTTTTTTTAACAATATAGTCATAGCCAGGTGCTGGTTGCCTCACACCTGTAATCCTAGCTACTTCGGAGGCTGAGATCAGCAGAATTACATTTTCAGGCCAGGCCAGGCATATAGCTCTGAGACCCCATCTCCAAAATAACCACAGCAAAATGGATTTGAAGTATGACTCAAGATAGATCACCTGCTTGCTTTGCAAGCATGAAGCCCTCAGTTCAAACCCCAGTCTCACCAAAAACAACAACAAAAACCATAGTAAGGGAAATTTGACCACTGAATCAAATTATGATATTTGAAAAAAAAACTAGGGAATTACTGTAACTTTTGTTTTTAAGTTGTTAGGAGCAATAATATATTTGTGGCTATGTTTTTTTTTTAATAATCACTTTCTTTGAGGTGTATATGTGTGTGTGTGGAGAGAGAGAGAGAATGCTTTTAAGAACATTTCCCCCAAAATGGGTGATGGGACAAGTGACTAAAGATGAAACATGGTTGGCCAGAATTTGACAGTTGTTTTGTTTGAGGCTGGGTGGTTGGTATCTGGGTGTTTACTATAGTATTCTCTCTAATTAAACATGTTTAAATTTTTTAATATGAAAAGTCCTTTCTACCATATTGACTATTTTATAGCAGTTGGTCAAGAGCTTTCATACATTATCTCATTTGATATTATAACTAGCTGGCAAGAAACCTGTTATAACTATTCCCATTTCAAAACTGATGAAGCTAAAAGGTCAATGCCTGAACCAAAGGTTTATGCATTTATTGTGTACAATATATTTTCCAGGGTCTAGAACAAAGATAATGTTTGTTTGAGTCTTTCAAAAATGGTCAGTCCTGATACATGCTATGTGGGCTTGTCTTTGGAGACTTCAACCCCTCTTCTACCTATCCTGCCACAACATTAGGTTATAAGCTCCACTAAGGAAAGGATCCTGCCAATTTGTTCACCCATGTATCATCAAAATCAGGCAAAGACCTGGCATGTGATAAGCACTTAGGGTGAACATTTATTAAATTAATGGATCCATGAATGAATAACATTAACCATTACTCTTTCTCTTAAGGGGAATCAAATTGTTGAGAAAATAATACAGACGGTAGACTAGAAAGAATAGTGTTCAAAACTAACCACTTAAAAGACACATAACCTAGGCAAATTCATCCTTCTGAGCCTCTATTCCTTCCTTTTTAGAATGGGAATAATAATATCTTCTTTTTCTTGGGTTAGGGGTATAGCTCAGTGGTAGAGTTATTACCTAGCATGCCAGAGGCCCTGGGTTTGATCCCCAGCACTGAGAAAAAAAAAAAAAAAAGAAAGAAAAGAAAAAGGCTCTCCTTCTTAGAAACTCTATGAGATAAAATATGTAAAAGGTTAGCCTGGGGCCTGAAATTCGACACATCTAAAAAAGTTTGCTGTTTTTAGCAATCATTACCAAAGATGAAACTTGATGGGTTCTCTAGGAAGAACATTCTTCTTTCTTAATCATCTGCTTATAAAAGTCCTTTGTGTTCACAGCAAGGAGGCCAGCATAGGGACAACAGAGTAAGCAAGGGGAAGAGTTAGAGATAGGGAGATCAGAAAGTTAGCAAAAGTCCAGATTATGTAGGATCTGGTCAGCATTTACTCTAAGTGAAAGTTGGTGCCACTGAGCAGTTTTGAGAAGACACTGATACTTTGCCTGCGAGCAGAGTTAATTTCTCTGATAAGTTAGAGGCTCCTCTTCCTGCTTGCTGGTCCCTGAACAAAGGAAATTCAAAGTGCTCTGATGGCAACAAGGCTTGTGGTTCAATGAGACTCTTGCTGGGTTCACAGAAAGACTGAACCCTGTTGGGGACCAGAACCTTCACCTCTACAGAGCCCAGAATTGCAGAGACAAGGAGAACAAAGTCCCCAATGGGTCAGTAGGAGTAATAAGTGATCCACTTCTGTATCCACCTCTTACATCTTGAAATCATCCTTGGGAACAGAGTACCACTTAATTGATTAGATGAATATACTACATCCTCACAGATGGCCCCATCCTTGCAGAGGATCACCTCAACCATGGTTTGAGATTGTTTGTCCCCCAAAGGTTTGGACTGAGGTGTCATAAAGCAAGGCCACTTGACCCTTTCTAATAGCAAGACCTCATTTTTTTTTTTTTGGTGGCATTGGGGTTTGAACTCAGTATCTCACACTTGCTAGGCAGATGCTCTTACCACTTGAGCCACTCCACTAGCACTTGACCCTTTCTGAATGTGACTGTTTCCCTTTCTGCTTTGCCATATTGTAATGCAGCCAAAGGGGTTGAACATATGGGGCTGCCAGATTTTAGACTTTTAGTCTCCAAAATGATGAGCTAAATAAACCTCTCTTCTTTATAAAGTACCCAGCCTCAGCATTTTGTTATAGCAATAGAAAACTAAGATAGCCTCTAAGCTGGCATTTCAGTTGTGTCTGCAGGAAGCCTTCCCCACCCTTTATGAGGTCAACTGCTTCTGCCTGGCATATGATAGGATAAGACCATTGCATCCCATGGCTGTGGCCTACCCCTGCACCTCCTTCCCTGTGAAATGGATCCCATAGTTAGATGCTATGCTGTGTGGGGATATATGGCTGTGGATCAGGCATTCTGCAAG